CAGTCTAGACTGTGAACTAATAGTTTAGTCTTATAAGGAACCGATAGGTTATCTTTTCGTTCGAAACTCTTCGAACCACACTATCTCAATATAAGACATGGAGTATGTATTGCATAAATAAATAAACTGCAAACATATGTACTTTGACCGAAACATGATTGCCAGATCAAAATGGAATTGATAGAAACTGCAGAACACAGCTTTTACAGCATACCTCTAACAATCTCCCACTTATGCATTATAAGCTTATGGCTAAACAAAAATAACCACTATTTCTTTCAATCTAATTCTTAAAGACTAGTCTCCTATGTTGCCCAAAAATCTGACTCCCATTCCTTCTACGTGTCTCGTAAAGACTTTCGCCGGTAGGCTCTTCGTAAAAGGATCTGCTAGGTTGTCCTCTGATTGTATCTTGGCAACAACGACTTCTCCTCGTCCAACGATATCTCGTATCAGGTGGTACTTGCGCTCTATGTGTTTACTTGCTTTATGAGTCCGTGGTTCCTTCGAATTTGCTACTGCTCCGTTGTTATCACAGAACACTGTGATTGCAGCGGGCAAACTCGATACCACATCAAGGTCGAGGAGAAAATTTCTGAGCCAGACAACTTCTTTCGCTGCCTCTGAGGCTGCTACATACTCAGCCTCTATGGTTGAGTCCGCCATGCATTTCTGCTTGACACTCTTCCATACAATGGCTCCTCCTCCTCCTAAAGTAAACACAAACCCTGAGGTTTACTTGCTTTCGTCCCGGTCTGCCTGAAAGTCAGAATCGGTGTAACCCAACGGAAGCAACTCATCTGCCTAGTAAACCAACATGTACTCCTTAGTCCTGCGAAGGTACTTGAGTATATGTTTTACCGCAGACCAATGTTCCGGCCCTGGATTACTCTGATATCTTGCTGCCATGCCCACGGCATAACAAATATCAGGTCGCGTGCATCGCATACATTAGGCTTCCTACTGCGGATGCATAAGGAACTGTCTTCATGTCATCTATCTCCTGAGGCATCTTCGGGGACATCCTCTTAGATAGAGGTATTCCGTGCCGAAAGGGCAAATCCCCTTTCTTGGAATCCTACATGTTGAAACGCTTTAGGACAGTGTCCATGTATGTGGATTGGGATAGGCACAACTTTCTCTTCTCTCAGTCGCGAATAACCTTGATTCCGAGAACATGTCCTACTTCACCCAAATCCTTCATATCAAACTGCTTGGATAACCATACCTTTACGTCTGACAACATTTTCACACTGTTTCCAATGAGAAGAATATCATCCACGTACAGCACTAGAAACACCACCACGTTTCCATCACTTTCTTGTACACACAGTGCTCATCCGGACATTGGGTAAATCCATACGATTGGACAACCTCGTCAAAACGGATGTTCCAAGACCTCGAAGCTTGCTTCAGCCCATAAATGGACCTCTTCAGCTTGCAGACCAGATGCTCTTGGCCCTTTGCAATGAATCCTTCTGGTTGCTGCATATAGATGTCCTCGTCCAAATTCCCGTTAAGGAAAGCGGTCTTAACATCCATTTGCCAAATCTCATAATCCATATGAGCGGCCACAGCCAAGAGAATCCTGATGGATTTGAGCATGGCTACCAGCGAAAAAGTTTCCTCATAATCGAAGTGTACCCTTTCTCAACAAGCCTAGCTTTGAATATCTCAACCTTCCCATCTGATCCTCTCTTTCTCTTATAGACCCACTTGCATCCAATGGCTCGAACGCCACTGGGTGGCTCTACAAGATCCTAGACCTGATTAGTGTCCATTGAGTCTAATTCAGACTTCATCGCGTTTTGCCAGGACTCTGCATCCCGATCTTGGAGTGCCTCATTGTATGTTCATGGGTCGGTTTCAAGAATGTCCGGGACGGCCTCAGAAGACTCTCCCAGACCCATGAACCGTTCGGGTTGCCAGACAACCCTCCCACTACGACGAGGTACTACCTGCTCAGGTGCATCATCAACGATACGTGTTGCAGTACTTTGTGGTGTAACATCTAGCGCACTCGGTATTGAAGTACTCACTCCCGTTAACTCCTCAAGAACATGTCTACTACTGGGCTTATGATCTAAGACATAGTCTTCTTCCAAGAACCTAGCATTCGTGCTAACGATTACTTTCTGGTCCTCGGGACTATAAAATAGACCACCTTTCGTTTCCTTAGAATATCCCACAAACAGCCTTACTTCTGATCTCGGTTCCAACTTATCAGTATCGATTCTCAGCACATGTGCTGGGCTACCCCAAATCCTGAGATGTCTTAGACTGGGCTTATGCCCAGACCACAACTCCAATGGTGTAGACAGTACTGATTTAGAAGGTACTCTATTCAGAATGTATACCGCTGTTTCTAGGGCATATCCCCAAAACGAATCTGGTAATGTACTATAAGAGTCCCTAACCATTTTTATAAGAGTCCTGTTCCTCCGTTCTGCTACGCCATTCTGCTGAGGCGTGCCAGGCGCAGTCAGGTGGGACGTAATCCCATTATCCGTCAAGTAGCTCCTAAATTCATTCGATAGATATTCGCCACCACGATCCGATCGTAATGACTTGATACTTTTTCCTAACTGCTTCTCCACAACTGCCTTATACTCCAAGAACTTCTCAAAGCATTCAGACTTGTGGTGCAGAAGGAAAATGGACCCATATCTCGAGTAATCATCGATAAATGTAACGAAGTACACGAAACCACCTCTCGCTTCAATACTCATAGGACCACATAGATTGGAATGAACTAGCCCTAACACATCTTCGGCTCTATGCCCCTTTAAACTAAAAGCCCTCTTAGTCATTTTACCTTCCAGGCAAGACTCACAAGTTGGAAAAGCCTCGACTTCTAACGACCCCAAAGGCCCATCTGCTACCAACCTTTGAATCCTCCTCAGGTTAATATGACCAAGTCTTACATGCCAAAGATATGTTTCGTTCATTTTAGAGGGTTCCTTTCTCTTATTCATATTAGATGATGAATTAAGTAATTGTTTCTGTTGCAGTGGAGATGACTAAGATTCTAGAATGTACAGATTGTCAACCAATGAACCAGAGCATATGAACTTTTTGCCAAAATGAATAACAACTTTGTTATCAAACGTAGCAGAAAAACCGTTCATAAACAACTTAGAAACCGAAATCAAATTCTTTCTAAAACTGGGAACATAAGACAATCTTTCAAAACTAGAAACCTATCTAAGCCAAAATCTAAATAGACGTCTC